ATTTTTTTTCTTTAATTTTTCAAATAATAAGAGAGTCTCAGTTTCACAATAAGCAACATGCATATTGCTTGCATATATATATGTATACCTATATATTGATATATTCAATATGATTCCATTTACTAGCATGTTATCGTTCACAGAACGGTGTTTACGATCATTAAGAGCAATAACCAACCAATTTATGAATGTTTACCAGCTAATTGCCTCTACGCCTTTATATTTAGTGCATATTTAATAAAATAAAATCGTAAATATATAAAAATATCTACTAAATAAATAAGCAAGCTTATGCACTTGTGTAGCAATAAATTGTTCTGTTATCGAGCAACAGCCACTAAAAATGGATTGTAGAGCGAATAATGTGAAAGAGGGTTAAAACTATGCTTACCTCAAGTGCTGATATGGTTTTTGAGGAGTGTGTTCTATTTCTAGCAATTTGAAAAAAAAAATTCCTCAACTTGAAAGTAAAAGTCATCACTATTTTAACGCACTGACACATTTTATCACCAAGGCTAGTTTGAAGTGCGGTTCGGTGACGTTGTGCCCGACACACCACCCGCTAAAGTGGACGCGGGCGATTTTTGCGCACGCCCTTCAGTAGGCGTATCGAGTTCAGTATTCAGTGCAATAAACTCTCGAGTATACAAAAGCCAAACCATATATAGTGTTTATGTAGGCCAAAAGCGTTTTTGCTTGATATTTAGACATACAAAACGGCAATAAACGTATTGTAACTAAGTACATTTGTACTATAAATAATGGCAGTATAGAYGATAAGCGCATTGCTCTTGTTGTAGTAGTCAGAAGCTGACGTATATGATTCATTAGGGCAACGTGCGATGTGCCGATAATGATATATGTGTATATAATCAAAAACTTAATTAAACATTGATAACTGTTAACATTTTGATTTATTAGCTTGTTGCGATTTTATTAAACTTGTTAGTTGTTTGTATGTGTGTGAGTGTGTGTGAAAGCTGATAAAACCCACGGCATACTTGTTATAGCTTATTGTTTCAATATATACATCACACATCCGTTATTTATTGCCAAGACATGCCTAACATAACTCTGTTAAACACGCTTTGCTGGTTTGTGGGTATGTTCACCCCTTTAACTGCATTTACTTAATGAATACGACCAACAATGCGCACGAGCTGATAAGGAAGCGTGAAAAGCTAATAGCTGATTAAAGTGTTAAAAGTAATAATAAAAACAAAATAGTAATAAAAAAAACACTAAAAAACGGCAACTGTTCCCATTACRGACCATTTGAAATGGTAATAAAATATTTTCAATAAATTATTGCCAACATCGYTCATTGCTTTTACACCTGTATATGTCATATACTCACAAGCATTGACAGCTGTATGTGATTATCTTATCTGGTCAATGCGTTCAAAAAGTGTGCCGTACGTGCGCGACTGATAACGGTTACGTGCATTGTGCTGCACATGGGTACTTAATCGCATCGCGCCCTTTTTGYCACCTGCGTCAGGCAAAATCTACAAAAATGCTGCGGTGCGCGGTAAGCCGCACCTCAAGTGTTAGCTGGCAGTTGAAAGCTCATACACACATATTTATATATATATCTGTATATACATACATACATGTTTAAGAGTATACTAAGTATACGCGCTAAGCTGTTTCTTAAATGTTATTCTTTATCAACATAACGGTTAATATAAGCATTATCTTTTTGCTTGAAATCCCCGTCTTGATTTTCAATTTCCCGAAAACTTTTAATCGCCAGCGGTAGTTGGTAATAACCATTAATAAAAAATATAATTTTTACTAACTGTTTGTTTTTACCAAAAGCTTAATGCCGATTACGCTTGCACAATTTCTCGTTTTGTACTAAAGCACGTGAATAATTTTTCCTGTTTTCAATGCCATGGAAAGAATTGTCGTTGAAGAATTTTACAAACATACATACATACATATATCCACAAATATGCGAAGCTTATCGGCCATATTAGTATGTTTCCGCAAGTCGGGAATGTTATGCGCAAAAACATATGGTCGTAAAATATTCCAATCAGCTAATAAGTGCTTTGTTATTTAAATTGCAATACAATTCGTTTTTTTTTTTTTATTGTAAGAAATCGCTGAATCAGGTTAGGGTTAGGTTAGGTTAGATGGCTGATCAAAGAACTCATGTGGACTGCTATAACTATGTGGTCCTTTGAGAAGCTATATAGTAGAAGAGCTCCTGTGTTCGAACTTATAAATCGGTGAAAAGTGACATTTTTAATATTTTGCGCATACTGGCGTGTGATTTTGCTAATTGACTCACATGCCCCGCACTAAACCCTTATAAACTTTTTTTTATTCAAAAATATTTTAATTCAACTAAAATTCA